TCGGTGTGCCCACATTCTGCGAAGATGGCCATCTTTCTACGCGCACATCCACGAAAATGACCTCACTCAAATTGTAAATGGGGTACAATAAACGACACCTGTCGCGCTGAATTCTCGAAACCTTTACACCTTCAGAGAATCACGGGCATTGTTTCATTTTATTGGGCTAGTTCTTCTTTTACGATGAATACACACGTCTCACGAAATCTTGCTAAAGGGAAAGGCAAAAACGCTATATACGAGGGTGAGACAAAAATTATCGGCACTTTCGCGATAAGATATCATTAGGCTTGACACACTGCCTTCTGCTCATGCGAGCTTATACTTGGCACTATTGCGGACGTGTTAGCAAAGTTTGAGCGTGATCGCACCAGTTTTCTTGATGCTGTTACATTGCAAACATGACAGTTCGCCCCAAGAAGGAACGAAGAGCAGTGATCCAAATCTGCAGAGAACATGCTACCTCAACGACGATAGCATCTCTCGATCTTGTTGAATCTTCTCGTCAGTAGTAGTAGAGGTTGTTCGTCGTCCTGTTCCTACTTCTCGCGTCGCACTTTACTGGTCACCTTTAAACGTTTTGAGCCACTCATACACCTTTTTTAAGCGGTAATAGAATGTCGCTGTATTCTTTTAAAATCCTGCGATGAACGAAAGACTCTGATTCACCTTCTGATCAAAGAAATCGGGTCAGTTACCTGTTTTTCTCCTTGGTGCATACTGATAACGGAGCGGTCATGTTTACACTGTAATAGCAACAAGAAAAATGATCCGAGCAAGTTCAAATTTCGATCATGTGCTTTTATTAGTATCAGCTATAAACACGTATGGGTCGAAGCCGTGTGACAAATCCCAAGATATGTTACGACGAATGTGTGGATACTGTTTTACTTACTCTCGTAGATAAATTAAGATGGTTTTACGAATTAATATGAATTAAATATCCGTTGCAAAAATTCTGAAAAAAAATTTGTAACTACCTTAGAAATAGATTTTTCTATTTTTATATGCTTAGTTCCTTTCAATATCTGAGCGATCATAACTCTCCACTACTTCCTATGATTTATTGATCTAAGTAAATCTTGTCCTTTTACTCTTTGTTCTCTGTCTATTGTCCTTTCACACACACTCGTTGAATATTTTACTCGCTGTTTCGCCTTACTCGTGCCTTCAGTATGTTTTGTGAGTGTTAAACTCTGTAGACCGTCTTTCTTCAATGTGTCGCAGGAATTTCAACTGTCTCTTTCTGATTGCCATTATGTTTTCCATGTCGCTCCTACATTCGGTAAAACAATTATTGTTGTTGTTCACATTTTCTATCTGTTGTATTCTTAGTTTTTCTTGATAGTACCTTATATGTATCGTTTCAAATGCTTTGCTCATCTATGATAAGATTGTCCACCAATCATTGCTTTATAGAAGATTAGATATTGCCACCTATTTTCTTTCTCTTAATTGGCTTAATTTCTGGAAGGCATATTTCGCCTTTATAACGTACCATAGGATTCCTCTTTCATATATTCCACTGTTTGTTACTTCTCTAACCAGATAAATTGAATTTCTGCACCTCCTTGGTTTTGAAGTCCACTATGCATATCTTAGAAATTTGGGTCTCCTTTGCTAACAATCACGCATTCTTCCTTCTTATGGTTTGCAGTTAGTCCATTCTTCTTGCTTTCTTTTACTACTTTATCTAAGAGGTCTTTCAGTTTCTTTCTTGTGTTTTCCGTGACAACAGTGACGTCTACGCATCTTACATTGTTAAAATTATAGTAAGAAATTATAAATACCTCTTCGTGAGTATTACACATGCGTTTCAAATAGATTGTTCGGAATAAAAGGTGTGTTTCTTTTTATAATTTGTTGTACGAATGTTTTTCTTCCTCCATTCCTCCATATGAATCCGAACACCTCGTCGCCAACTGTTGTAGAGTGGTTTCACAGTGGAGGCTTGTATTTGTACTAAGTCGGTCCTAAAATAGGTTCGACGTACAAAACGTTAGGAACTTGATATAATAGGTAATGACGCAGTAATCTAGTTGTGGTGGCTGATACTTTAATATCCGACTAACGGTCGTCCGAAATCGACTGACTGACCAACGATATTTAGTCAAAACGAGGGCATCATGTGGCACAAAGCCGGTTTAACGTGGGATCTCCGAGCCCGTGGGCTCGGCCAAATATATGCCCATTGAACCCATATAAACGGGTTCAGGGTCGGTTTACCTCCCCAAAAGAGAATCCGCCTTTCGGCGTAGCCTCTTTCGGGTTCCTCCCCGCCCGAAGGTAGAGAGTTCAACCGATCAGCCAGTCGACTGACTGGCCCACTCCCTGAGCGACTCCTACTACTCCTACTTATTATAGGTGGGAGAGTCTATTAACTATAGAATAGGTGTGTTCCACTATTACATAATTTTCTTACAGATATTTTAAAGGATATTGTTCGAACACGTACCATAGCTCCACTTAGATTTATGGCTTATACATATTCTAGAAGGTGATATTTCAACGCCTCTTTCTGTACAATTCGCTCGTACAATATGATTTTCAGTGAAAAGTGAAAATGGGGTTAACATGAGAGTTCCATTATTTCCGGAAAAGCGAAGAAAATTGCAGTACAAAGTGCAAAAATATGTCTTCTTCATAAAGACAGTGCAATGAGTTGAGAGTACTCTTTGTAAGTGATTCCCTAGGTTCAGATCTGAATTTTCTGTCATCTAGAAGCTTAGGAAATTTTCTGTAGACCTGTCGTTGCTGATGATAAGCAAATCGAAATGTCGAGTAAAAGCAGGCAGCAATCGATGAAAATCGTCCAGAATTAGCCAATCAGAATGGTGTCGAAACTCTTCTGGATAGTCAGAGGCCACTAGTCTTTTGGTAGGCAAGATGGATATTGGTACAGTTTACTTGATATATCTAACTACACACATGGTACGCACCTCAACTTGCCCATTCAGAATCTCACTTAATCTCACTTACAGAAATCTCTAATGGGAAGATTTTCATTTCTCTGGACACCACTAAAAAGACCTGTTCATCATCCAGAAGGTGTCAGGTGCTGGGAGAATGTAATGATGATTCTGCCTCAAGGATAGCGAAATTTAGTGGAACAATGGGGTATATTTTTGGTTGAATATGTACAAAGAGAAAAGTGTTCTAAGACAAGGATGTCTCTTCTCACCAATTTATTCAACCTTTACATTGAGACGATTCTGAGAGAATTAGATGTCCTACTACTATTAGCGACCACAAACTTAAAAAAAAAATCCGATATGCATATGACATAGTGAGTCTTCATAGCAGACACAGAAAGAAATTTAAAACAACTCCTTCAGGACGTAAGGAAGGAAAGCGAGAAGAAAGGACTAAACCTTAATTGCAAGATGGAATGCATGATTGTTAGCAAAAGAAACAACCGAACACGCAAATTACAAATTGAAGATAACTGTTGTAGCATACCTACCGACGCTAATGGACATGTTCCCATTCACAGAAATACAATAGTAAATACTGTATGTTGGTCTGCAGTTGCAGATTCGTCTCCAGCTGTGCAGGTCAAACTCTCTGCCTCCGGGTAGAGAATATCCTCAGACGAGTCTATGTCAAAGGGCAGAGTCTCGTCTTGGGAAACAGCTACCCGACTGTTTATACGGGGTCTACGGGGAATTTTTGGCCGAACCTACGGACTCGGATACCTCACAATAAATTTGGCCTTGTGCCACATCCGACCGAGTGGGCGGTTAGTAGATATCCTGCAGTTGGAAGTTCGTCTCCAGTTGTACTGGTCAAACACTCTGCCTCGTGGCAGAGAGAATACCCAGACGAGCCTATGTCGAAGAGCAGAGTATAGTCATGGGAAACGGCTACCCGAACCCGTACAAAACGGGAATTTTTGGCCGATTTTAGCTCGGATACCCCACATTAAATTAGTGCCACATCTTGAACAGACATTGCATTTACATCTAATTATTGTTTGAAATTCACTTAAAAACGTACTTTTATTCCAAACCAATTATTTTCTGTTCTGAAAATCCTTCTGGAATATTTGTAGCCAAAATACAGGGTGTTTCAAAAAGAATACGCCAAAATCATTACAGTTTTTTCAGGTCTATAGCATTGTTGTGGACTGAATCAGTGGTTATTTGATAGAGTGGTTATCAAAGTTTGATTGGGTGTCAGTTTCACCACCGTCGTTAGTATAACTTCCGGTGCAGCTACAAACAGGACAAACCTATCTCGAAATGCTCCAAAACTGGCTATTCACTTTATTGCAAGCAGATTCGACTGACTTCATAGCACTACCCCAATTGGCATCTCGGGCTTAGAGATTATCTGACTGAAAACATGCCTCAGCGATGGATTGGGAGGAGAGGTGCTAAAGACCTTGCTCTCTGTGCTTGGCCTGCCAGATTCCCAGACCTCACTGTGTGTGACTTTTTTTTTGTGGGGGTTATGTTAAAGAGCAAGTTTATCTTCCAGCACTTCCAGCAAGTATCGATGACTTGAAAGATCGAATAACATCTGCAATCAACACGGTGGACCGTGACATGCTGAGGCGCGTTTAGGAGGAATTCTCATATCGGCTTGATGTTGTCCGCGCTGCCGGTGGTGGCCACATTGAGCACTTATAAAACATGAAATGAAACTTGAATGTATATATAACACAGGTGTTCATGCTAGAGGTTTGTAATTTGTTTCGTTTTTGACATATCACCTGATGATTTTGGCGTATTCTTTTTGAAACACCCTGTAGTTTTATTGATTCATATTTATGGGTTTTTTCAAGATAGAATATATTTTTATATTGTAAGATTTTTTTGAAGATAATAATGATTTAGTGTTCTTACTAATTAACCCAAAGCTGGGGTTGGGAGAAGAAGTGGATATATACCTTTCCCAAGGGTACTTGCGCGTAAGTGTATATAACGAACCCAACAGGAATTGGAAATCGGCTGTCCGATTAACGATTCCAAACCATTATCCGATACGCACATCAAATCTTACAGCGCCTAATATACCCAAGCTGTCACTCATCGAGGTACTAACCTGGCTCGATGTTGCTTAACCTCGGTGATCTTACGGGAACCAAGATTATGTGCCGAGAAGAAATTTCTTAAATTTTTAGTTAAATAGTTCGAATAAAGAAGAACCGAAGTACTTTTTATCCCCCAGAGGGATAATTGTCTCGAACCTTCTATTTGAAACTTAACGAAAAGTTATATCAGTAAAAATATACCTCATAAACTAATATTAAATTAAAACAAAGAGAATTATTGCATATCAACAAGATTTTAATTCTTGTTTATTATAAATTTTAATGTTTATAAAAAAAAAGTATTTAATTAATGTTCAGATAGTAGAAATGGCTAACACTAACTGTATATACAGCTTCTAGGACACTCGGGTATATAGGTATAGGTAAGTAGTTAGATCAGCGGATATGTCAAATCGAAAGATACAAAACAGTGTCGAATTATATATATATATATATATATATATGAAGGGGAAGAGAAAGAAGAAGAGAAAAAAGAGTTCGGGAGAGCGAAGGTGGAAAGAATAACACATGAAAACCAAAGAGCTTTTTATGAAGAGAATGTCGCGGGGTTGGCAGCTCGCAGAACTGGGGGCACTAAAAAGAGTCGGAAGGCGCTGGGCAAGTGTAGCGACATCCGGTGGGCAGCAAGCAGCGGGTCAATTACATTTGGCATCCGACGGTCGGGATATGGCAGTTGACATTCGCCAGCCATTTTTCCCGCTTCAAATGCCAGCAGTGAACGCTCGCCCACTTACCACCAACCCTCTCACACATTTTTTTCTTTCCCTTTCTCTTTTCTTTCTTTCTTTCTTTCTTTCCCTTTCTCTTTTCTTTCTTTCTCTTTTCTTTCTTTCTTTCTTACTTTTCTTCCCTTTCTTTTTATTGCGCAGGCGCACGGATACTTTATTCAGGAGCAACACTGATCTGTTGAACTACTTCCAGATTGTGTCAGATTATCTATGATAAAAAGTTCCCTGCCACTGATGTTGCAATTTCTACGGAATTGTTTACACCGCCATTTTGAATGTGATGAAGATGGCGATAGAGTTTCGGAAAATAGTGCGATGAAGTAGCAAATGTAAAAAATTGATAGATACATACGTATAAAATGGTCGACAGTGATTTGAACAGATCCCTGGAATAGATAGATAGATAGATAGATACTGAATAATTTTATAGTACTTAATTGATTAGTAACTAGATTGTTTATATTACACCAGCCTATTTAACTTGTTATACCTAGAGAAATAAAAAAATAATTTGTAATATTAATACATATTTCTTTAACAGTAGGATGGCCGAGGTGTCGTTTTCGACACCTTTAAATTTTTAACAACTTAATATGGAATAACTAGTTTTGGTTCGATGCTGAGGCTTATGGACAATTATTGAATTTTAGCAAAGATGCTTAACAGACTTAATTCTTTAAAAAAATATTCAGTGGAATAGATGATATTTAAGGTTTTACCTTGAATGGCCGAGGTGTCGTTTTTGACAATTGAAATTTCTCACAAGCAATAATACTTGTGTCTATGCCCCCTATCTATTTATCTATACACACACACACACACACAATTTATCATATATATATATATATATATATATATATATATATATATATATATATATATATATATATAATCACTTTCTTTCGGTATGAGGTATACTAATATTTGTGAATTTCTTTTCAGACTTGTTATTCCTCACTTGAATATTGAATACATTAGAGATGGCTGCTTCACAGCGTAATGTAAATAAAGATGTCAAAGGAACTGGCCATCCTAGTGTTAATCTGGAATAATTTCATTTCAAGGGGAAATAACGTTAGGCATTTTGAAAGGCTAGTAATTTCGAGGACAAATAATGACGAAAGAATGTTCAGAAAATTTGATACGCACAGGGTACGTACCAAAGGGTCAGAGGAAATCACCGAGTGTCCTACATAAGAAATTTGTGCAAATGGATTATATATATATATATATATATATATATATATATGTTGTATGTTCCGACCGTCTTCGGATGATTCGAATTTCGAACTGAATCCATTATTTCGTTAACCGTGGTAGATTGTTCTATTTCCACGTGCTATGCCACTTCTGAATATCTACCGTATCAGATATCTCCCTTTAATTCAACTCTAAATTTTTGTTCAACTCAGCTGTAGGTAAGTATTGTTCACAGGTTTTGGGGTCAAGTCACTGGAGTCAACAAACGCTTTTATCACTGGGTCATGTGTTCTTGGGATTTTTAAACCTAATCTCTGAGTTTTCTCCTTTTTTTTTACTAGAGCTCATATTACAATTTTTCTTGTTATTTTTTCTCTAGCACTCTGTATTACTGGTCCGCATATTGTATTCATTTCTATGCTTTGCCGGCTTAGGAGATTTTTGCGGCCTAGAATATGCGCTGATCCCTTAAGTTTTCGTATTTTCTAGTGATGTTCCCTATTATTTCAACTTCATCCCACGGGCTGGGGTGGGGTGATCTCCATTTTCCCTCGATATGTGGGCAACCACAAAATTCTTAAAAATAATAAGCGAAAATTAAAAATTTTATATCGAAAATCAGTGTATATCGTATTCTTTAATTATATATATATATATATATATATATATATATATATATATATATATATATATATATTCGGTTGGTGCAAAAATAATGACGTAATAATGTCGTTTTTTGATGTATTTTTTAACGTCAAAAAAACGACATTGTTACGTATTATTTTTGCACCAACCTAATATAATCCTCCCCAGAGATACTGTTTCGCAGCTTATCAGTATGGCTAGACGTCTGGTTACCTCTAGCTAGGATCGAAATCCGGTATTTCTGTTTACTGGGACTATAAAAGGACACTTTACGTGAACCTTGTATTTTCAGTTGAATAAAGCTTTCTTAAAGCCTACATCTGCGTACTTTTGTCATTGCAGTTCTTTTAAGCATTTACTTTAAATGCAATGAAGAGGCGCTAGATGGGCGATGAAAATTTCAGAAACCAGGCTTCTGCGTTTACAGACATGATTAGAAAGTAATTCCGTTTTAGCAGGCAGGATACAAAAAAGAAAGTAAATATAATGTAATTAAATATCTTTTAATTATGCAATCAACTTGAACAACTGCAAAAAATGTAAGATTGGCATTCCGTATTCGATGACAGTTGCAAGTTGGAGAATGTGTGATTCTCGAAAGGAAACTCCTGGGAATTCAAAGACCATCTTTGAGAGTTTTCCACATTCAATTCTGAAATGCACTATAAGTGACACGCAATCAGATAGAAGAAATGATAAACAGATTCATACGATTAAAATTTATTTCTACCTTAGTTATTTGACTCATGATTCATAACGAAATTACTTTCCGAACAACCTAATATTTTATAAGCATATTGTCATATTGCTAAATGACGCCCTATCCAGGGTTCGCAAGTAGGTCTCTGGTTGTGTATTCATATTAATTATGGAAACAAAATGTCTTTCTGTTTCCCAGTGACTTAACTTTTTTTTTACCCTAGTCTTTTCTTCGTAAACTATTTTTTTTTTTTAGTTTGCTGTATAACATTTGTTAATGGTCAAACATATATATTAAGACATATTATCAAATGCATTGTTTTGACCTTTCATGATAGGATGTTTTATCTTGTTTTGTTTTACGCAATTTCTGTATTTGATTGAAATGTATTTTCAAACTTTTAGTTCCAACATTTCATGAATTTTCATACTAATTTTCATAGAATGGAATATTCTAATTCTTCCTATCTTTTCTTCTTTCAAATACCCATAGTAGTAAAGTACCCCAAAATATTTTCGAAATAACATTTACATTCATAGAAGCCAATTTGATATAAACGACAAAGCCGCTGGCTGTGGAAAGATGAAGCAAAAACGCACAAAGCAGGTATGATGAGCTATGGCAGATATAGCCGGCAATAATATAAACAAAAATGAGAATTAGAACAAATATGGCTGCATGGGCGGGAAAATGAGTATAAAGTCTTAAGGAGGCAGTGTTATGGGCAGCATGAAGTATCGATTAAAAACTGCATGTTAGTTACATCTGTTTTATTTCATTTTGTCTTTGGCAATATTTCTTTTTGTTGGTCTTCTGTCGTTTTGTTCGTCTTCTTTTAGGTTCTTGCTTTTGTTTGCAGTCTGATTTATCGTTGCTTTTCTAACGCTTCGGTTTGTTATGTTTTAATCTTTATTTGCATTTTCGTTCAGCGTCTTGCTCCATCCCTTGCAGGCATGATGTATCAAGAAGGCAAAATAAACAAGCAAAAAATGAGAACCTGATAGCAAAGGGATAAAAGAGACAACAGATATTATCAGTGACTTTGCAAACAGAATAAAATACGCATAGTTCGAGTGAAATAGTCGTTTTGTAACGCAAAAATAAATATGTTGTTTTGATTGTAAGGCAATGAACAAGGGACTGAAAAAAACAATCAACGTCAATTAATTCGGACTTTATTCAATTTATCTTAGAATTTTATTATTTTTTTTCTGGCATTTCGTTTTTACACTCAGTGTTTGTTCCTATTTGGGGATATTGAGTGACAGCAAGTTAACTCGATATTCATTTTGTAATTCATCTAATACAAGGCGTAAAAGCCATTCAACGTAGATGGTTACTGAAGGAGTTGCCTGATTGCAACGTAAGAGGAGGAAGCAGGAAGTGAAGATTATGAAGATATGGCGGATAGATAACAATTGACCCTAGACATTGTTGTGCTTAGGAGAGCATCCAGACGGTTGTCCCTTCCAAAATGTAGCAGTCCTTGGGAAGAAGTCTTCAGAATGGAATGTAAAAATTAAGGAATGCATAGGAATGTTTGTGATACGATACTGTGGATGGAGCAAGACAGATTTTAACAGATACATAGAGTTTTGTATAGTGTCTATGATTCTGTAGATTTTGAGATTTTTTTTTGTATAGTGACCATGATTCCATATATTTTCATATTGGTTTTTGTGTACGGTCCATGATTCCGTAGATTTTCAGATTTTTTGGCATAGTGGTCATGATTCTGTAGATTTTCAGATTTTCCTGA